TTAGAAGAAAATTTCGAATTATGAGCAGAAAAAATTTTGCATTTTAGTATAAAATCCTTTAAACCAATGAACATAAATATAAATGTAAATTTGATTTTTTTCAGGTCGCTGGCAATACGATGCCAGCAGAGCATATGCAACAGCAGATTCAAGCGCTCACACAGCAAGAAGTGGCCGTGATGCAGCAACAGGTACAGCAAGTGGAACAAGTAGTAGCACAAGCCCAACAGCAAGTCGAGCAAGTTGTCGCGCAAGCGCAACAGCAGGCGGTCCAAGCTGTGCAACAGGCTCAGCAACAGGTGGTCCAGCAAGTGGTACAGCATGCCCAAGTAGTGCAACAAGCGGTGCAACAAGTGCAGGCAGTGCAGCAAGTTCAAGCGGCTCAAGTGGTGCAGCAAGCGGTGCAACAGGCGACTGAAGAAGTTGTGCAACAAGCGGTGCAACAAGCGACGCAAGAAGTGGTGCAGCAGGTTAGTAGCAATTTTAATAAACTCTTTTAATTTATGATAAATATATACAGGGTGTCCCAGACCACCCGTACACCCCTTTTAAAATGAAAAATGGCTTTTATCAAAAATCGCGAACATTTTTTAAGTAAATCGGGTATGCTCTCTTTATCAGAATGGTGATATTTTCAACTTTTGATTCTGACCGGAAATACGCCATCCGGACCAGAAGTTGAATTTTTTGAGGGGAACATAGTACTTTTTATTACAGATTCGAATTGTATGTGAAAAAATAAGAAACTTTTGTATCAAGTAACTGCCACAGTTGCTTTCAAGGTCAATTTTAAGATTGACAGAGGCACTTTCAGAAAAAAACGTTTGATACAAAAGTTTCTTATTTTTTCACGTACAATTCGAATTTGTAATAAAAAGTACTATGTTCCCCTCAAAAAATTCAACTTTCGGTCCGGATGGCGTATTTCCGGTCAGAATCAAAAGTTGAAAATATCACCATTTGATAGAGAGAGCATACCCGATTTACTTAAAAAATGTTCGCGGTTTTTGATAAAAGCCATTTATTTTCATTTTAAAAGAGGTGTACGGGTGGTCTGGGACACCCTGTATATGTAAAGAAATATACAAAAATTTCCAAATTTCTTTAGAACAATCTATAAATATTAATTATTAAAATTCACATTTCTAAATTAAACTGATCGATCGACATCAAACGAAAAATATTTCAGGTTCAAGCAGTGCAGCAAGCTGTCCAGCAGGCTCAAGCGGCCCAGGCTATGCAACAGGCGGTTCAGAAAGACATCGGCTCCATG